AACTTCAACTGAACTCAAAAGTCGTTAATCTAACCAAAAGTCATACGGCGTGGAAACAGAATGCAAAGACAAAGCTATCATATCACATTACTCCTCTGACAAAAAAGACGGGAAAGGCTAAAACGATAGACACTACTAAGTTACATATAATCCTGTCAATCATGAACAAAAGCTTGCGTTATCAAACAATACGTATATAAGCGCATCAAACTCCCATCCCAAAAAGATATAAAAAAAAACGTTACAAAGTGCTCTCAACTCAAAAAGCGTCAAAAGTATTCCGGAAACAACACATAAACAACAACAACTCTTAAAACGTCGATATCTCTGTACTCGACAAATCTCAAAACTCTTAAAAAAAACACGTGGGGGCATCATTCCTCCCATCATAATCCGTACTCATAAACTCATTAAAACACCATAAAACTTCACAAAACTCAAAACACTGTGTTGCAAATAATTGTCCACTGAGGCGCGCTTAAATCGTTATAAAGGACCTCGAACGTCACCAAATATCAGTTCAAAACACAAATCTGGGCGCTTACACACATACAATTCGACACCACAAAAAAAAAAACGGTAAAAAGAACGGTAGGAAAAACAAGCAATACATTACATTACAGAGCAATAGGTTTAGGGTTGTGGAAAAGAGTTCAACATCCTGAGTTACACAGTGTCAGTTACAGTGTCCAACCAGCGGTTCTCTAAGCAATACACAGATAGCTAAAGTTCTAATCAAAGTCTATAAGCGTCTCCTCTTGTCATCGCGTTAGTCCGGGGTCGTTCTTTCATCTTCTTCTTGTCTTTAATGTCGCTCAATTCTTAATTATTCAGTCCTATGCGATACTCGTCCTTCGTAAGGGGTTCTGAAATCTTCATCTCTTCAGCATTGTTCATCGGTGCCATACTATTAACGGTGTTAGTCGTCAAGCGCGGTTTAGTCTCTGCCATCGAGCCAGTTAGTTCGGTTCGCAAGAAAGACACACCTTCGCCATTTCACTTTGTTCACAGGATGTCAATGTGCGTAAGACGCAATGCCCAGGGTTCTCACACCACGTATCAGGGGGAAATTCTTCTCTCTCTGGGTTCTCCACACTTGTCAGGGGGGAAACTCGTCTCGTCTCTATATCTCGTCCCCTTGAGGTACGTGATCGGGAAAGTCACTTTACTTTACAGTCAAATAAGACACACACAACGAAATACGTTTCAGCTCTCGTCTTAGTCGGTCAATCGAGCACTCTATAAGACAACCGCGCCCTGGGGAAAAATTCCCCAAGACTATCGCAAGGCTGACCCAAGACTCTTTTAGACTGCGTCAACACTCGCCCCAAGGCTCTCCAGGACTCCCCTCGACTGCGTCTGTCGTAGAGTACTTGCCAAGACCGACTCAAACTCTCTTTATTCATTTTCAAAACTCTAACCAATTACAAAGCAGAAAAAAAGACTCTAGGGCGTAACCTTCAATCATAAAGCCAATCACACTAAGCACTGAACACGTCATATCTTTTGATTAGTCGTTCACTACATTAATAACTACGGATACCAACTGTCAGAATGGCGACGGTTATCTGGTAATTAGTTCCAAATCACTGAGCCAAGTTCCGTCCAAAACTTCAAATAGGCCTAAACGATGACAGATATAACACAGCAATTCGCTAATAATCAGCTAATTAAGTCGACCAACAGATACGCGTAAACAACTTCATGACACAACGCTCAATTGTAATTCGATGTTCAATTAATAGTTAACAGAACTTCGAGTTACGGGCAAACTATTTTTTTTGTTTTTGTTGAACGTCCAGATTTAGTAACTCGAACTTTAATTAACAGTTAACCGAACTTCGAGTTACAGGCAACATATAAGTTTTGTTTCGTTTAATCTTTTACATTTACCGTTATTCAAAGTTCGGTTAACTGATAATGAAAATTCGAGTTACTAAATTTGAACATAAAACAAACAAAAAATCTATGTTCTCGAGTTACATTTCGGGCGTGGTTTTGCAAAAGTGGGCATGGTCTTTTCTGTAACTCTGTTTTGGTTACTCGATGTTTGTAACTTGATGTTCGTAACTCGAACAATTCAGCATCTCTTAGTTTACTAACTATGCCAAGGTTGAATCGCCTTCGCCAACTTATTAGTTCCTTCAGTCACTACTTCAGTTTTGTATCTACCCGAATTATGGGCGAGGCTCGAGGCAATTGTTCTAGATATAAATTCTGGTCATTCATAGTTTATGCTGTAACTTGCATCAATTTTGATAATGTACATCAGATTGTATGAGCGACGGATTTTTTTGTAAAAAACAAACAAACAATATTAAGTATTGTTTGTCGTGTTCTTTAGTTGTCAGACCGAAATGCAGGACATTTCTTGTGATATCTTTATAGTGCTTATCACGGAAAGGAAACAAATCACACCGTAGTGATTTTGATCTGGTTTGTTTACATCATACTGTATGAATAATGACATTAATATACCTTGATCCAATGTTCCTCAGTGGTATCTGCTGCCCTCTAGCGGTGTACGTATTATTATGTAAGACACTTGGTGTATGTACTGCGCGGTGTAATCTCTGTGAAAACAATAAAAATGATATTGAATAAACAATAATCGTAACATAATAAGACCAAGCCTAAAATGTATTCGTGTTTCAGACATCAAAAATAAGTTTTAGTCTGTAGAAAACAACTTGGTGTCCATCAGTCTTTAATCCAAAATCTTGGTTATTGCCCACACACACATTTTATTTTAGCAAGTTTATTTTTGACATTTGTTTCCCCTATTTGAGCGTGATATGAAAAGAATATACATTTTATAATGATTTCAAACTAATTAGTGATTAGATAATATAGGTATGAAACACAATTATTGCTCAAGTCTTCGCATGTGTAAACGTAATTGGAAAGAGCTCAAATAAATATGTTCAAAAATAATCATAAAATCTTGAAATACCATGGCATTCTGGTATTTGCTGATCAAAGGGTGCACCTTCCAATATTTGGATAAATAAAGACTTCCTATATTTGGCGTGTAGACCACCTAATGTTTTTAACTCGGAACTCATTAAATTATCTGTACTGAAGGTTTATTTTAACGTGCTTCTGTGCGTCAACTTCGAACACATTCCCGTACATCACACATGTTGGAATTCGACTAATGTATGACAAGTTCAGAAACGAATATGGCTGTCATGTACATTTGAAGTGCTGCCGTAGATATTGCATTCATGGTACGAGGCTAAACAGAAAAGGGGAAAACTGTACAGTTATTGACCTGTAATGTGTATCAGTTCGTTGGTGACTGCAAGTCCACCATTTGCAACATTCGGATTTTCTTAGAAACATACAATGTTATTGGCTGAACACATTCATAGCGCACATGTGTGACGTACACATGTTGCCAAGGTGACAGATACCATTGTTATTCAAAAGCTCCATTAATATTACCTGAGTGAAGGGCAGCCAATTTAACTTCTTTGCGTCCTTTCGCCACTTAGGAAGTAAAATTCTTTCTACAAACCACTCCAAGATCAGAGTTAAAGAAGCTATCACTACACCCGTACAGAGTAGAATAAATACGCCTATAAAATGACTGAGATCCAGTGTGCTTTCCTGGAAAGAAAATGATTGGAATGCAACATCTAACGCAATTTTGATATATGTTATATTACTTTTTGTCTACTAGAAATTCTTGGCATCATGTGACAAGACTTAATTTTGAAACGCATACAGCGTAACTCTATAATGACATACATTGACAGACCTCCTATACATGTATGCATTCAAATATTTAGTGTCCAACACTGGCCATGTGCAATATGTGCCAGACATGTGTTTGTTTGATGTCCATTGTTGGTGGTCTCAGACTTTTCTCCGTGAAGTATGGTTGTTGATTTCACTGGCGCATGTGGTTATTGTAATCGATATGTCTGTTCAAATTGTTGAAGGACTGTCGCTGACGTGATTACTATATTCATTGACATGCACAGCAAGTGACGTAACTAGTGCCAGTGAAAAGATCTTATCTTTACATAAACCGCAGCTGTCACCAAATCAGTAAAAATATTCGTTAATTTGATGCTTATCATACTTGGTATCTTTTATATTCATGCTTCAAAATATTCTCATGTGGATTGTTATATCAGAAAATAAAATTGCTATGTCTGGTGGATGTCAAAAACCAGTCTCGTTACTTATCTGTAGTCTATGAATAAATGGATGAATGAATGTTTTATGAATGCGATGGATGGATGAAGGAATGTTTTTTTAGTTTTATCCAAGTGATAAGATGGCTGGATGAAATAACAAAGTAAAAATAACAGTATACTCATCGAAAGAATTTGCAAGTCCAGGAACACAAAATGGATGGATGGGTGAATGAATGAATGAATGAAAGTCTAATTTTACCATAAACGTTACATATTTTCATTTCATTCATTCATAAGTGGGTGGCGTATGTTCAGTGAATGTTTGTGAATTACTGGTAGTATCATGAAAATAACTTACCCCGACTAATCCTTGTTTTTTAGAACATCCGACCCGGTTATACCATTGTCTTTGCAACTGTTCCAGGTAACCGGCACTTGAATATTTATATATGTGCAACGATACCTCACTCGTGAGTGGTGAGTTTTTAGGTAATCCAATCCCGTAACCTTCACTGGCGAATGGTTTACCAACTAATTGCAGCTCACATTTTGGGTCGGAAGATATCGTGTATTCTAATATAGCGGAGTCCCATATAAACGCTTCGAGCTGACGATTTCTATCGAGTAAATATGGTGATATTTTCGGTGAGAATAAATCATTTTCAACAAACTATTCAATGTAGGCTCTATTCAAAATACTTAGACATTTTTATGTTTTAATTAGTGTACTCTGGATCGGCTAGCTCAAGTTAGCATCTGTCGAATGTAAATGTGTTCGTAACGGCAATTTTGGGGCTATATCAGCACACTTGGGATGTGTAAAATTGGTTATTTACCTAAGTTTGTCGACACCATGTGATGTATTGGCCACTGCATACTTGGCTATCTTGCTTGCTAAAGCTGGATAACTGCGAGTGAGAAATGACTCAGGACTGCTGCTAGCTATTGTAGCAGCACGGAAGCCCTTGGATTGCTGTTGTAACTGGTGACAAAAATACATGGTAAAGATTAAAATATGAGGCTGAATTTGTGCAGCCATTTCTGTATTACAGATAAAGTAAATTGAAATTCCTATTTTTGAAATCGTAAATTTGTTTGAATTTTAAAATTACGTCGGTCCGTTTTGATTGTGGGGACATATATTTTGGCATGCTGTCTATTGTTACTTCCGGTCTGCGTTCACTACACGGCCTTTTAAGGAACCGTTAATGACATGCGTGCTTGTTTACCGTGGGGCGCATTTTAAATTACTGTAATCGTCAGTTAGAACCCAAGTTGCGTGTTTATATGATCGTAATTTGCCTGTGTTTATATTGCAACATGATTATCGAAAATGTACGTTTTTCTACAAAACTATTATGAATTATTTTATTGGAAGTGTTGAATGACAATAGTAATGCCACGTGCTCCACCAGGGCAATATTGATAGTACCATTTAAGGGGAATAGGTTTACTTAAAATATGAAAAATACGCCTAGTCAAAAGAAGCACGACCTATTACCGATGTCAGCTTTACTTGATATACAAACAAGTCATCGTTGTACGGCATCGGTATTGGTAGTTTACTTAATAAACAAGTTTTTCCATATTGCTATAGTAATGGGTCATGATTTAACGACGTAAAGCACAATTGTGTTAATTTCACTAAATTCGCGTGTGAGTGCCCGGGTGTTATGATTTGGGGCGTTTAAGACAGTATGCTACCAATAACATGGCAAGACATGTTTTCACTACAGTTGTAACAACGTTGTAGAGAAGTATATATGCAAATTTGACATAGTAAATCAGGTAGTCATGGCAGACTGGGAATATGCACCCGCATTAAAACAATATAAAAAGGAATATATTCATGTTAAAATGCGTAATGCTTGTAAAAATGTGAATGTCAATTTCTACTTGTGTTCCATTGTAATGCCCAACTTAAACTAGAAATATCCATTTCGTTTTTCGATGTCATTCATAATTTTAGTAAATTTCGTGCCTAATATATTAAAAGCAAAACTGCACTAATGTAGGAGCTTCATTATAATTGTATATAGCAACCATACCTGCTGTATTTCTTTTCTTTTCCAATTAGGCATGTACGTCGCCTAACATTCTGAGTGAACTAACTGATCTGACTGGTAAAATATGGTATTCACTCTTTACCATTTCAGGCACATCTGGTAAACAGTGTGTTGGCCAGCGAAAGCATGATAGTGATACCCCGTGGGCGAATATTTGACTGACGTATGATACTTTTCACGCTACAGACGAGTTTTTAAATCTCGATAATTATCAAATTTAGCAAGAATACATACGTTAGTGAACCAATTTTGAAGTAATTAACATTTCAATGAATATAGTCATGTTATCCGCTGCTTGGTTTTACACTATATGTTTTGAATATTATTCCATATTTATTTGCCCTGACTACACAATGCTGTATAGCTACATGCCATTTAGTGAGTTTCACCCAATGCTTAATGCAAAACTTTGATGTGTTTAGAAAGATTAAGTTTATTCCCCACTAAACCAGAGCACAAACAATTAGCGATGTATTAGATTAAGGCTACCATGTTGTCTGAAATCCCACCTTTGGCGCCATAAGCAATAATTGGAAACATCTTGAAGTCAAAAAGTTAAAAGAATATATCAAAGTTCAAATAAATTGCCTTATCCAAAAAATAGTTAAATATCTTCGGGAAAACAGTGTCAAGTCTGACGTTTTTGCAAATCATAATCCCAAACTGACATTCGATTGGAGGTTTTTGAGTATTTTATGTAATTATTGCAATTATTAATTAACGTCATTATTGTGTAATGGTGTATTTACGTTTGTTCATTTTAAACACGCAGTCAAGGCTAATTGTTGTACCTGTTCATCTCCATTATTAACGACAACGTATTCTTACCTTTGGGTCGTTAATACCTGATATTTCATTAGGTTGTTTTTCTCCCACCATGAAGGCAGCTAAATTGGCTGTATAACTAGCGATGAAAACCAATGAAAATATTGCCCACAGGTTTATGAGAAACCGACTAGCCCAGCACTTTGGCGACTTAGTCGGTACAGTATGTGAGAAGAGAATTGACCAGCACAACGTCAACGCGGACGGAAAACTAAATACTCTAGGTCGATTGCGTCCTCGAGGTGTCAGGCCATAAGGACTATGCCACTCAAAGATAGTTGTGAAAAAAGCAGTTGCGTGTAAAGTTATGAAAATACCAAGCCACATAGTCCACTCCAAAGGCTCCATAAACGAGCCGATCGCGGCCGTTCCTTTACGGCGAGCTGTAACTATGCCCAAACTGGTGTAATAAAACGGCGCTGAGAAATCGATGACTTGACTTCTTGCTGAGTTTATGCTGAAGGACCCGACAGCCATTTCGGCCGCACCGTTTATTAAATCTCCTACCATTCCATTCCATTCGCCTTTATCAATCGACCCAAAATTACCGTCGGCAACGATATACAAATCGTAATCGAAGTTCATATCACGACTCAGCATCTCCAGAACATCGTAGGCCATCCCAGTACAGCAATACTCGGCGTAACGTGGCATATCATCTGTCATATTGTTGGAGAATGTCCCATGGCTTCTCCAGTGCTCAAATGCGTCAATGACGTCTTTACGAGTTGTCCGAGCGCCACTTGGGTGTAATGACAACCCCAGGCACAGCCCGCCACTATAGCATTCCCTACTGTCACCCTCTAACTCGCTAATGAACAAGAACGGCTCCTCCAAGATTGTCACAACACGGAGTTTTCGTCTCTCTGACGCCAGGTTTGGCATGATCTCCGTTTGCCCAGGCCATAATATGGAGTTGATATTGAGATCATCCATAGTCCACGACCCCACATTGACCCATGTTTTAGTCAAGTCTTCACCCATACGCAAATTGAGTATATCATACTGTGCTTCGTTAATGTCTCCCCTGCTGTTAAAGGAAACCATACCCTCCGGTCTTTTGAGCACGGCTTCTTTTAAATATCTGATGAAAAAGAGAGCAAAGTGGTAGCAGTACGTACATAACACGTTTATAAAACGATACGGTTTTATTTAATGCAAACCTGTATATGGATCGACATGCCACCAAATGGGGCACTATTTTGAGGAAAAATATCCCACATGGGTCAACATTTTGTTTTCTGAATATAGCCCACAAAGTCAAACAAAGGCGTTGTTCTATCGGGAAAAATAAACAACAGTGTTTTTGTGTCTTACACTGATTGTTGGTGTTATTATTTCACAAATAATACAACGTTACCTAAAGAACTTGTGACCGTGAAGCCATTTATCTTTATCTTGTCTCCAGCATGTATCCGGGGGCGATGGAATGGCGACAGTAGACTCACTGACCATTTTCTGCATAGCTTTTGCAACGAGGCGCACTGAGTTTTTGATACTAACTGCTGTACTTGTACTCGCCGAATTGTTAACTGCTATTAATCCAACTGGAAAATATGTAGGGTCGGTCATGGTCAACATCCCCGTCAAAATCCACGCATAACCGGCGCTGAGCATCCCGACATTCTCCGCGATACGGAAAATTCTGGCTGCTTCCTGTGGCGATACTTGAAGTACTATAACTTTGGAGTTCAGTTGCGTCAGCATTGTTAGTCTAGATGAAATATTACCAGCGTACTCCATTGGTATTTTAATGAAAGCTTCGATTTCCCACTCCTCGTCGTCCGTAAGCCTCCAAAGTTCTCGAATGAAAGAGAGCCCATCCGGGTCGTCATCGTAAATTATTGAAAACTTGTACCAGTTATTCCTTTTCAGTATGTCGACTACGGGGTGGCTCTGCATAGCTAGTGGGGGTTCCATACGAAGGAACGTAGGATGAAGTTCCTGCAATAAAGGTAATAATAACAGTTAGACACGAAGAAAACAAGGCACGTGGACGCCTGGGCGTTACGTGGGAGAAAGAGGTCCTCAGTGAATATATGTGTTTTCTAGTGTATAGGGTTTACTGGACGTATGGAACCGGGAACAGCCACTGGTGGCGCTGAATACAGTCAAAACATATTTAGGCTTGCCAACGCTCACGCCGGCTAATAGTGTAAAAATGGAGACACTTATTAAATTCGGTGACCAGCTTAGTATGATAGAAAGCCTGTACAGTCTTCAAATAACCACAATATAGACAGAGTGGGGATCAAGACTGAATATACGTGATTCCTGTGTTTCATAATAAATACTTTATATTAATAATTACACCTTGAAATAATATTCATAATATACGTCTACGTCATAACCTCGTTAAAGTTATTAACATATTGTGTACGCATTGTGCATTTTTCGGGCCCTTTTCCTTCGGGTCACATAACATCACATACAATCCGTTACCGCTCATCATATTATTGGTCTAAACACGTCTCAGCATATCCAACTCAGACCGTTACGTCACTTCCGTCAGCATACAATCTACTCTACTGCCTAATCATTTAAATGCGAGAATATGTCATAAACGATACAGACTGAATCAAATTCAAAATTGCATAGCAATTATCAGTGTTTTCCTGTTTTCAAAAGGTGACATATTTTTCCACATATCTGAATATGTTAACGCTTTTAACCTCTTAACCATCGCTGATCAAATAAAGCATTTCCTACCAGCAAGTTAAGTGTGAATGGGACACCGCCGAAAGCACTATTGATTGAGATTGCAATAAATGTTTTCCGATTCAGTATATAATTGGTTTTCCATGATTTTTTCCTGGCTATAAACTCGGTAAGACGGTGCGTCGGTATTAACAGAGAGAAACCATCTCACCACCTCGCAGCTGCAATTAATTCAGATGAATGCACGCATTTAGCCAGTGTGCCGCATATGCGACTCAAACACCGATACATCGGTCCAATAAAACCAGTGTACCACATACTTAATGAGGAGGCCCAAACCAGTAGTCGAGATCCGTTTCCCACCTGACCCGAATATTGGGTACATTTACTAAGCGTATTTGTTCGGCCGCCGGTGCTGTAGTGTTTGACCGGCTCTGGTTTTCGCATCACATTGCCGTAGTGCCAATTATTGAATATATTTTTGTGACAAAAACATAGAATTCTCATGCACACACAATTTTAACATACAAAATTGAGACAATAGTGATATTCAATGTCGGAAACTGTCCCCAGGCACAATATGTTAAAACATGTTAGTCCATGCCATCTGCGTGATTTTCAGACAGTAAATATAGAAATGTGCATTTGCATACTAACATGCATGTAAATTTGATAGTCATCATGACTTACTAGTACGTTTAAAAATCGTAGCAAATGTTGAAATATAGAATACGATGGCCAATATTTGCAAGTCTGTGTTTCATTCATTTATTGTAAGTGTGTCATCTTTTGTTCGCAGAATATTAACGGGATTATTTTATTTGTTATTGATTATAAACTAACTGGGGTCGATGCACGTCGATGTCCGTTAGAGTCGGAAAGGAAATTGGTTGAACTTCCTAAACACATCAGCAAGTACAAAAATGCGGTTGTCTTTAGACTGAGTACAACAAGGGGCGAATTGTTCATTAACACACGAGTTGCATTTGGTCACATGTGGTAACTCACAGCACTGCCGCATCTCATGGGACTGGGGATCCACCTGTATAATAACAAATACTGTGCGTGTTATGGGCCTCAGACGTGGATGGACGTGGAAAACGAAATAAACTAACAACAAAAAACAATGCGACACAAAATATATTAGCTTATTGTGAATGAATTTATTCCGCGATTCATGAAACCATATGTTTAACTGTTCACACAGAACCGCGATATTAATTCGACCTAGGATGACCTTTGTTAAAAGTAATGGGGATTATTCTCCGTAATAGTTGATTGGGTTCAACTAAAATACAACTGGTAATTTCAGACGGCAATAATCGCACGATGTTCGAGGGGAGACAGGAGCTGCCAACTAAAAGGGCGCCATCTATCGATTAGTGAGGTAAAGATTGTTGACCTAATTTGGTAGATTATCAATTTATTTGTATCCACTCTCAACACGCCAGATATGCTAACATCATACACTGTTTGCTACACAGTCGTGCTTAATAATTTATTCCCTGCGAGGAAAATAAAAAAAAAATATGAACGGTGTTGACAAAAGTCGAGTTCACCGTTCAGAGGATCAAATGGCAACTTATATTTGTTTCGGTAGGTTCGATGTTTCTTGTATCGTTTTTAATTTAACAGAGAAACGCAACATATAAGATGTATTCTCGTCCTAGGAACCTATAGATGCGTATTTTATTGTAGCACGCATTTAACTGAGAAATGAGCTGTGTCCTCGTCCGAGAAAACATTAGACTACCTTGTATCACTCATACGGAATTGTATATACCAGTATGGGCTATATCCTTACCCGAGGACTGTGTGAACGTGTCCTGTATCGTGTACTGACACGTGTCTGCGCACAATAAACTGCAAAATGCTGCCCATGAGATGTAATCTCGCCCGAGGACTCTGTAGACGTTTCCTTGTCGAAAATTAGTCACTAAATCGTCGATACAATATGACTGTAATGACAGTGGTAAAGTCCATCAAAATTCCAATAAGGCATGAATGCAGCATATTTTTTATTATTTTGAATAGGTCTGCTCTAAATTGATTGGATTTAAATGCTAAAATAGAGATCAAACCATGCACCTCTGTGAATATGGTTTAAACGCATGTTAATCAGAAGTCACACACAGTAGTAGTTCAAGTTACTGTCGCGTGTATATAATTTAGATAGCACAACACTGTACTGATTTGACATATGATAGTATAACTGAAGGGGAAATTGAATAAAAATAACGATATTGGTATGCAATACTAACGTTACTTTAGTAATGTAGTCTTTTATGAAAGGACGACGACCTTGTTACTTGGCGTGCTTTTCTCCGTCAGCACTCACACGTTAACAACGGCGGGGTTAGGAAAACGACAATATTATGAAATCGCGGATTACGTCTATGACGTGACCTGATGTCACAATGTGTCATATCGAGAACATAATATACATTTTTCAATCCTTCATTTATTTTTCAATAACTCAATTACCTATACACATAAACATTTCTAGTACTTTCTGTCCTTCTAAACTGGATATCTAGAACGAATCTTTCATTTCTGTCTGTATTATATAGCAACAAATCCTAAATTGTTGCCGCTTGCTGAGCGGAATACCCATATTCGGTGGTGATTGTGTAATAGGCTCAGCAGGGCATTGTTATTTCATGAATATGACATGCAGGCTGTAGCCTATGTCTCCTTGGCATTATTTTTACTAATTGTCCTGGTAGCAGTTGTCGCGCACGTCTGTTTGTTATTACGGTTAACATGAACGTACACATACTGTACCAGTTTTCATACATTCGATTTTGTCGGCCAGACAAATAAACAGGATAAACGACAAGAACTTTGCGATTTAGCCATCACGAAATTAGCGATCGTTCAGCTCGCTTCAAATTGTTATTTACTTGATTCAACATTGAATAATTAGGTTTGTGGGACGCATGATTTGTGTTACTCTCATTGTGGTCGTACATTTGTTTAATAATATCAAGCATAGTACATAATTACGTTATTTCAAGAATAATAACCAAATTCCTTTTTGTGATTCATATCTCATTTGAAAAATAATTTTTGAATTAATGTTTACATACGAAGTGAAATGCTGTAAAAATGTTGAAAAAAGCGACGTACTATTTTAGGTAGTTGTGGTAAAATGACGTTATAGCGAAATGTTGATTTAGCGAATCTATCTTGTCGTTTTTGATTTCCTGTTTTAACAATATTTGTCTGTCGCCGCGCAAAACAAATGTGCAGTTATCACCTCCATAAAAACCAAAGAAAAACATTAAAGTGTAATAAAGAAGCGCACCAGATTATTACGTTTTCTGTGTTTTTTACAAAGTGTGTGTGCGTGGAGAAAAAGACGTTGTTTGGCCGCCATTTTGAATTTATAATGAAGTCATTAGCGACATCTTAAATTAGCGAATTAGTTCTCTCGCTAAATTCGCGAAAAAGACATGTTTTACAGTATTTCCTGAACACGCGTTTTCGTTTTGCCATTTTGAAGTTGTTTTACACTTGTACCCACATGCAAAAGATCTTCAACGATGTGCCGATCTATCACGATTGGCAGATGACAATTCAACGGTCATCTATTACGGGAGTAGTTGTCGAATTACTATTAATAGCGGTGGTCGTTGCACAGCGTCGTGTTTGATATGCGTCCCATGCTGGGGTGTTCCATTCTAGAATAATTTTTACGCTATCATGTTCGATCCTTACAAAAAATGGGTCTTTAATAGCTAATCCAAGACCAGTGAAAACTATACAATTAAAATAGCATATGAAGAAACAATTTTGTTAGAGAAAATAATTTAATTTACGCGATTTACAGTAAATCTGAAATCCCAATGAAACCTTTTGGGCATGGAACACATCTAATGAACGGCTAAATGGTTTAGATGTTCAGTATCTTTTTACCATGCTTGGTCTAAATAATCTCAGATTCATCTATGAAACATGTTATGTCATTTATCTGGATACCTGTTTTTATGCTGTGTTGACAAAGTTTTAGGTATACCGATTAGCTGTATAGTAAAGGACGAGATACACTCATCCCACATTCAGGGATCTAATTATGCAGGGATCTGTCAGGTACATCAAAGAAATGCTAACATGCGTGATCGATCCGTGCTTTGTACAAGCGCGGAATTGCGCCACTTACGTTAAGTCGCGCTACCTGGTGTATGGATAATCAGCGTTCTAGTGAGTTATTTGTGTTTCACTTGGTTATACCGACCCACATGACCTCCACAGCGGGATTTGTAACGCATCCGTGTTACGTGTCT